GTCGTCAAAATTAAGCCTCTAAGGGGCCCCAAATGACTCTCTTGCCCAGGGCCCCAACAATGCTAAGGCCACCACTTTCATGTGTTACTGAAAGTTATTTAGGTACTTGCATAGGCAGAATAAACTTGCTTTCAGCACTGTTATGAAACAATGATCAATGTAATCTCAATCACACTTTCTGTCATGATGGTAAAAATTCTTGTTGTTTATTCTTATATAAAATTATTGTATAAGGGAAGTGATTCTTCTGCTGTGTTGAGCACTGCTGAAGTTTCGCTTAGGCACTGTGTCCACTTTTGGGCCTTTTGCTTCAAGAAGGATGTGGACAGTTTGGAAAGAGTCCAGAGCAACAAAAATGATCAGAAAGACAAGACCTGTGAGGAAAGACTGAAAGAGCTAGGGTTACTTAGTCTTGAGAAGACTGGTGGGTAGGGCAGGTGGGGGGAGTGTGTGGTAGGATTGATAACAGTCTTCAAATACCTGCAGTGTCAGTGTGATTATACAGAGGATGGAGATAGATTGTTCCCTACAGTCATAGGGAACAGGCCTAGAAGAAACACCCTCAAGCTGCAGGGCAAATTTAGGATGGAGATTAGAAGGAATGTCCTGACTATGAGAGCGATGGAGCATTGAAACAGGCTACCTAGAGAAATTGTGGAATCACCATCTTTGGAAGTTGTTAAGAGCAGGCTGGACAGACACTTGGCTGAGATGGGTTAGTCAAGGAAGATCCTGCCTTGAACAGGGGGCTGGACTAGATGACTCCGTGAGATCCCTTCCAGCCCTATTTTCCTGTGTCCCATCTACATTATCAATCAAGGTTATTTACAGGAGTGGTTGCTAGGAAATCTATTGGTGATGAATATTATCAGTGGAGGGTCATTTTCTTAGTATAAAGGAAGCTTTAAAATTCTAAAATAAATTTCTGACACATATCTAATGCTTGATGAAAAGGTAGGTACCTTTTCATCCTTTTCCAATCATGGAAAGATGGCTATTAAATGTACACAAATTGAGAATCAGTTCCTGAAAACCTTATGCAAGCAAATAATCTTTAGCAGGGGTGGATTCGGGGGGGCGGGGAGGGGGCAGTAGTGAGGTACCCTAGAGCAGCAGCAGGGAACTCTTTTTATGTCCCCAAAGCAGGTAAGAATCCCCTCCCTTACCTTGCATGCTCAGCAGCATCTCCCTTTCTCTCCCATTTCTCCCTCTTGCTCACTGCTGTTGCTTTCCCCAGCTGACCCTGGGTGAAGTAAAATCCAGAGCCACTCCTGACCAGCTCCAGTTGGGCTCAGCCAATGATAGTGGTAGCAGATGGGGTCCCTCTCCCTGCCCAGTTACCTTGGGTGTTCTCCACCAGCCCAGGAGCAGGCTCAGGGAAGGGAAACCTGCCCACCACCACTGCTGTCTCTGACAGAGCCTGGCTTTCTGCACAGCCAGTGTTTGCATCCCTGGCTGGAGTGGGGCAGGAGTGGCCAGGACACTGGTGGTGGTGGTAGGTGGGCTTCTCCAGCCTGTGCCCAGAACTGTAAGTAGAGAGGGCAATGGGGGGAATGCCGGGGCAGGGGGCAAAATGCTGCTGAGGATATAGAGAAGGGGAAGGCTAAATGGGGTGGGGGTTGTTCACACATGATTCAGGGACTTAAAATGTACCTGGCTGCTGTTCCTGTGACAAGATCTGTGTGCTGGGGGGGTGGGACACAGGGTACAGCCACCCCCACAGCACCAGTCTCTGATCCAACACTCCCCTTTTCAAAATCCTGGATCTACCTATGGTTTTTACTCATGTGAGCAGTGCCTGCCTCCCCATTTTATTGTTTAATTCTATATTTTCTCCCCTAAAAAAGAAAGGCGAGTTTAAACTAGGAGACAGAATAGCGGTTTAATGTTTTTAGAATGCATAGAAAAGTAACAGAAGCTCACTCTCCCACATTGTGTTAGAAGATGCCACAATATGGTGGACAGACGACCATGGGGGAGCGTAACATTCAAACATGGTTAAAAATGTCTTGAAAAGGAAGACACATACCTGCTGAGTGTTTCTAAGTGTTAGCAACAACATTTTTTTGGTAGCTCTCAAAATCAAAAAACAAGTTGTTGATATACAGCTTGGGACATCTCTCCTAAGCTCCAGAGTTTCTGAAAATTTCACAACCCATTTATAAATTCCCATTAGCAAGTTCCTTATTTTTAATAAATAAAATCCCATTGAAACAAAACGTATTTACAATTAGACCAAAATTGTTCATGTAATTCACATGAGAAAAATGCTATTTTTGAGAAAATGCTTTTCTATCTTCACTACAGTCATTTATTCTAAATTAGTACATATCAATTGTCCATTAAATGAACATTTTTCCCTTAAGACCTATACTTGTAGAAAAAAATATTTTAGGAGGGACTTCCTAATCATTATGTAACTGTTTAGAATCATAACTTTTTTGTTATGAACCCTGCAGATAACTATAACAATCTAGATACTGTGTGACTGTATTGCACTGATTTATTTGAAATGTGCCACAGCTTAATTTTACTTGGTTACAGATGTGCATGTTTAAGAAAAGTAGCAGTTTAGCAATTTGAGTAAATGTGTTTTTTGGTTACACATGTTTTCCTGTCATGAAGCCATGACCTTAATTTAATTTTCTTTGAGTTTCATCCACTGTCTTTTTCAGAAAGCACTTTAGTTTTACATCTAATAAGAACTTGCCCTGCAGTTATTCTTTTCACAGGAACTAATTCTGTGCTACTCACCCAACTACTAATGAAGCCACTGTTGGGTAGATTGTGCAAAATATGCAGTTTCAGATTTATAATTTGTGCTATGTATCATTACTGTGGGAAATATATAGCAGGGAACCATTTAAACTAGATTTGATACAACATCTTTTAGGAGAGGATGAACTCCTTGATTATACAGGGGTTTCCCCACTCTGTTGATAGGCAGCAAACTTCAAATAGCAAATATCCTATGGAAAACTACTAAAAAAATAGAACACTCCTTTTTGAATCTTAACAACCACAAATTGGCCAATGTATAATCTCCATCACAACTTGATACCCTGCAAGCAACCATCTGCCTCGTTTGAACTGTGCACGATTCTGTGCATGAACTGTGCAAGTTCTATCACAGCAAAACCCGCTGCCATCTTGCAGTATTCCATCTGCAGGAGGGCAGTCACATCACAAGTGTCTGGGGTGATCTCCTTGCTAGATGAGCAGACATCAAAGCTGTGCCCACACTGATTTTGGAACTCTATTTGTAGGTTTTAAACCTTAAAGCCCAATTCAGAAGTCTAAACTGGCAAACAATTCCTAGTGGGCATAATGCTTACACAAGTCAGAGACCCAGTAGCTTTAGAAATGTTTTTAGGATTGGGCTGTGTATTCCAGGAATTTGGAACTGCTCTGATGCCTTCTTCTAGGCCATTCATTGTGTAAATTACATCAGCTTAGACTTTTTAAGGCCAGATCTGGAGCAGAGCAGATTCACACTGACTGAAGATCCAACCTGGATTTTTAATTCATAGGCAAATAACACCCCCTAGTCCACTTACACAGCATCTCTGAACTCTATTCATTAGGTGTAATTACCCTTGTCACTTATAAAAAACAAAACAATACAATAAGGAATTCTCAGGGGAGTCAACTCCCTACTTTACATCTTTCCATCAGTTGCCTTTTGGTTCCTTGCTTTCTTCTGGCCTTCAGTCTTAGGGCAGACAGAAGTTACATGTTTCATGTGACTGGCCCCCTGAAAGGGCTCTACAGACATGCCATGACACATGCGCATGGCTGCAGAGTGCTTTAAAAGTGGCCAATCATGCAACAAATTAACCTTCAAGTGAAGGACCAGATGAAGGCACTCCACTTGGGAGCACCTTAGGTAACTTGTGTTCCATAGGATTCATTTTTGTTGGGATCGGGGCTGGGCTGATGAAGCCCACACCTGACCCTGGGGTTGTCTACAGGAAGGGAGAAGAGGGGTGGAGCAAGCTGCAAGCTGGGCAGGGGCGGGTGGATTACAGCCTCCCTGATTCATGACCCCACCTCCTCTCTCCAGCTCAGGCCAGACAAACCACAGCCTGCAGCTTGCTCCCCCTCCTGTCTTCCCCCTCCATTCCTGCCGACAGCACCAGGGCTGGGAGGGAGAGGGGGCAGGGCTGGGGGACAGGGGCAATCCCTCCACTGCCGGAAGGCTCCATGGGCTTCTGCAGCCAAGCCTAATTCCCCCCACTCCCTCCCCCCAGACTCCACAGGTCTGTTGGGTTGGGGCGGGGGGGCACTCTAACTCATAGCTCTTTATGTAAGGCACCATGAGACAGAGCAAGGGCTGCACATCTGTCAGTGCCTTTAATTACACCAATACACCTCTCTTCTTGAGCCAAACTGTTAGGCTAGGGACAGACATTCAAAAAGCCTGAGCCTGTATTGATTCACTCTTTGCAGGTTAGTCTAAGCTGCGCAGCTTAAACTGATTAATAACTGAACAGACATTCTCTGTTAAACCAGGAAATGCAGCCACATGCCTGCAGTGACTCAAACTAGAAGCTGGCGGATGCTAGAGCGTGCCTACCAGCTGCTGCCAAAAGGGAGGGAAGAGAGATGCCCTCCAAGGCTCTCATGCCTCCCTGCTTGAATGGAGGGGGCGCGGCCAGGCACCAGCCGGAGCTAGCAGATGCACAGGATGCTAATCACCAGCCTGGGGTGGGGAGGAGCTGCTGACAGACTGAGGAGTGGGGTTGGGGAAAAAGTCCTTTCTCTGAAGCAATCATGTATTGAACATAGCAATTTGCAAAGCATATAACAGGGAACTACCAAAAATCTTTGCCTAAGCTAAGATTCAGCCCAATAAACACAGCATACACAACTTAGTTTAATTTAAAATGTAAACCAGGAAGACAAGAATTAGTTTTACTAATCCTGAGGGCAGAGTTACAGACAGGCATTCAGAAAGGCTTTGTTTAGGCATATAGCTCTCTGCATTCTTTGGTGAAGCTGTCTGCAATTTCCCTTAATTACATCTCCAGCATGTGTGATGATTGTCAGGTCTTTGCCAATGCTTTCTATCTTTCAGTCTGGTCCTGCAGGTCTTAACCCTGGGCTCACAAGTGCAGGGCTTGGATCTGCACACAGGATTCTAGCTTGCCTCTCTCCCCCATCCCCCTAGGATATGCTGTGAAATCAATCCCCCCCTGCAAGCTGCAGAGACTGCAGCCAAATCCCTGGGGGGTCTGAGGGAGAGAGGGGACAGAGGGAGAGTGTCCTTGCCTGGCTGCAGGCAAGCCATGGAGGTGTGGCTGGGGCTGGCAAAATGGAGCTGCAGTCCTCAGGGTTTGCCAGTTGGGGGTGGGAGGGGGTGCGGAGAGGGGACAGAGGGAGAAATTTGCCTCAAGAACCATGGCAGGGCAGCATCTGGGCACACCCTGCCCCTGCACGAGCTAGAGAGCACAGGAAAGGGACGGAGAGCATGCTGGGATGCTGGGGTTCCTTACTGGTGGCAAGTGAAGAAGTTGGAAGTGACTTCTGCTTCCCTTAGATTCATTCAGGATCACCTCCAAATATAGTCCTTCTGGTATTCTTACATGAGATGATGGGGGCAAGACATGTAACACCATGACTAATCATATGATCAGTGAACATTTCTAAGTTTCTTTCCTCCCAATGCTAAATGCTGGCATCTGAATGCAAAATAATGCAGCAGGAGATTACATTGCAGGTTTATGATTGTACAAGCAAATCTAAGTCCTGCTTTTGTTTTATTGGAATTCACCTTGTTTCTATTTTAGATGGCATTTTGGGATGAATATGTTGTTCAATGATGATGTATCTCATATACTGTGGAAAGGTCTTGGCAAGAGTTAATTGCAAAGGCTCCCTTTTCCTAAGTGTGATAAACAGTACATAATTTCCTGACTTCACTTTGTCCCTTTTGGTTTTACCTATGAAGGCTGAGCCAGATTCACGTTCATACTAACCCTCTTTGCTCAACTCTGGCAGTATAAAGGGGTTTTAAAACGGGCACAAATGTAATCAGAACCAACAAGCCTAACTTAAGTTTGAAGTAAAAAAACTGCAGTAACCTACAATTCAATCACTGCTGTTGTTGCTGACTTTAGATTTCAATCATACAGAACCAGATATCTTAAATGTTCCCTTAAGAAATGTTTGTGGAAAAAGACTTTTATTTTGAGTTGAAAACTTAACTGCATGTTTAACCAGCTTCACTGATGTTTTAATCATATTGGACAAGCAATTTTCTTGTAGAAATAAGATAGTTAAAAATTAAGTCTGAAAATACTGTCAACAATTTCATGATATAGACATTTTAATATTAAAAGTATATTGTAAATGTGTCTTTATAAACATATGCATAAAATAGATCTACTATGCTAAAGCTCTCTTTTTAAAATGCTGTTTCACAGTAATTTGTTAGATATGTATTGGTCTCTCAAAGAAATAGTGCAATTTGAAGAACGTACATTATGTCAGTGGATTAGAATGATTGGGGTCACTAATACAAGTCTTTGTAGATTTCTTGTAGGAGTGGGTGAAGACTCATATCTGTTTCCGTTTTCTTTATTATTTGCAATAACTGCACATGTTCTGTTACAATCTGTCTGAGGTCCGTCATTTTCTGAAGCAACTTTGCAAACAGCTGTGATGACTCTGGGTGATTCAGTTTTAACTGGAGCTCCAAAGCTTGCAACAAATTATCTTGTATATCTTCAATGGGTTTCACATTCAACAAACCAGGACGATCTAGAAAAAATAAGTTAGGACAGGGAGTTACTGACTGTATTAGAAATTTTAATCTAATTTGTTTATTAAAGGTTTCTCCAGCATGCTGGCCTTCTAAAAGTAGCAGCTGACAACCATACAGATTTTTTTTTTCTCAACAAGACCTTTTTTAGAGCACTCACAAGGAAAAAGTAGTCTTAGAAACAGCACATCAAAGTTGCTTATGTAGAGGTATACATGCAGCCTATGGCAATGTATAGTCCATCCTGGATTTCAAGTGTCTCCATGATGGGAGAGTAAGAAAGAAAGATGCTTTGAAGGATAACAGTCTTAATTGGTCATCCAACAATGAATCATTAAAATATAGGTACATGAATCTGTTTGTTACCTTTTAAAAAATTGCAAATGGGTTTGACTACAGCAGTTTAAAAATTGCATGGGCTCTGGAAAGCAAGCTGCCAAGTTAGAAATAGCTTCAATGGAAGACACACAACCTAATAGAAGGCAAAATTTGGATCAGAGGATCTCTATTCCTCTACCTTGCTAGTCTTGAAGTTTTTAGCATTAATTGTGCTATGCTCATACTCTGTTTGTTTATAATCCCAATTATTTGCTGCACTACCTCAAGCACCAGAGGAATCTTATGGATATTATGGCAGTGCAGGAAGGATGCTTCAGTGACATCTTCTCCTCAGGATGCTTGTACAACTGGTGCAGGGGCTGTCTCTCTTAGGTTCATGGTAGCAAATACAGTACAACCTCAAGGTAATGTACAGTTTACAACAACCCCTATTTTAATGATCCCAAATGCAGAAACTGATTTTTCCACTATCATGATGCAGCAAACTGACTAACCCTTTAAAGTGAACAATTCCCAGGCCATACATTACACTGAGGTTGGACTGTAGGGGCATTGACAGACATGCAACTCCTTCGTCTAACTCATGGAGCTTCATAGAAAGCACCATGAATTAGACAGACCCCCTGACCCAACAGACATTCCCTGTTGGATTGGGGGTGGGGGTGGGGAGGGGAGTGGCAGAGAGAAGGGAAAAGTGCAGGACTGAGCTCCAATCCAGCCAAGGAGCTGCCTGCCTGCAATCTGTCTCCCCTAGCCCCGCTGAAGGCTCTAATACACCTGCCCCCACTTCAGCTCAGGCTGGGCAAAACCCAGCCTGCAGCTCCCTCCCCCTCCTTTCTCCCTCTTCCATCCTGCAGACAGCAAAGGGGGCAGGCCTGAGTTGCATCAGTCCAGCCCTGCTTGTGTGTAGGGACTGACGGAAGTTAATAAAGGTGCTCCGTTTTGAGGCACCTTCATCTGATCCCTCATTTGATGAGGGTTAATTTGTTGCATGACTGGGCACTTTTAAAGCACTTTGCAGCCATGTACTTCTGTCGCAGCATGGCTGTAGAGCACTTTCAAGAGGCTGATTGAATGACAAATGCCACTTCTGTCAGCGCCTTAGATTTCCTCCATGACAGGAATCCTGTGCCGGATATTTACAACCCTTTGAAGTGCTAAATCTGTGTGAAGAGTCAGATTGAAGAGGGCACTTTGGCACTTTATTAGTTTCAGGTCTACAAAGAACAAACTCTGTGCTACATCTTAGTACTGATACTGGTGTTCCTCTCCCTATCTTTATGCGTATGGGAATACATTTTCTTTTACTTAGTAATGGCATTCTACTGCTAGGGAATACCAGTTTATTGCTGCTTTCAGACACAGAGGTATCTTGATATATCTTAAAAAGAGTCTTGGGTTGTTTGCTTCATGTGAAACCATTTGACAGACTCTATAATAGGACCATTTTCTCTCTTAATTTCCCACTCCATGGTTCTTTTTAGGCAGTGGCCATTGTCATTTAACATGATTCCTGGTTATTTTTCTAATTTCAAGTTATATATGACTTGATTCTACAGAAACTGAAACATAAGGACAGTGTCTTCAAGTGTCTTCGCGCTTGACAATGAGAGCTAGTGGTTTGCTAATGCTTTGGTTGCTAATGAATAACACGATAAACCCACTTTACAATGGTTATGGCATCTTGACAATCAGAATCCAGGATATGGATAGGATACAGCACAAGTTAGTAATGTAAGCAAAATTGTCTGGTTAGCAACCAGATTAATCACATGCATTAGCCAATAAAAAACAACACATACAACCAGTCTCAATGACTTCTGTATGGAGATCTCTCCAGTTTGGAGAGAAGTGGCTGATTGGTACCCAGTATTCATTGCTGGTTAATTACTCTGCAAGATACGTGTCACAAGAAGCTTAGCCAATATTGGCAGTGGTTGATGAGGTATGTTATCCTGAGTAAACATTAGCTCAGCACTAGATTTGCAGGAAAAAGGGTGCTCTCTCTCACACTTCAGCTTTATTTATCAAGCACCACTTCCACGGGTGTAATCTGAAACCAAGATAAGTAGCACTGTGAAAAGTATGTTTGTACAGTAAGTCTGCACGGTAGCTACAGCTGTGGCACCTGAGACATGACCTTAGTCTACAGCTGTGGCACCTGAGACATGGCCTTAGCAGGGAGAATGATCGGGCTTTACTGTAGACACTTTACCCCAGACTTTAATTTATTCAATCCCTGTGTGTGAGGTAAGAATGGAGGATTGGGCCCAAGCTACTCCAAGTCACCATTATAATCTCCATGTGCTGGGATGTGTTAGCCTGCTATCACTGTCAGTAGTAGCCAGGCTAATCTAATATCTGACAGGGCTGATCGCAGTCCCCAGAGAAGCAGAAACCAGCTCTTGTGCAGCATGCTGTGGCTAAGCGCCCTCTTTGCCTCTTATGCTGAGGATATGGAGAACAGTTAGTATCGTGTCCTGGAACCAGCTCTGTACTAGATGGGAAGAATCCCTTTGTATTGTCAAGAGTTATATACATAAAGGAGAGTTAGTCTACTGAAGAATCAGGCCTGGCCACAGTCAAAGGCTAGATCAGCAGTTCTGCAGGTACTGCTCTTAAGAAATGGTGTTCAGCTATGGTCTGTGGATCAGATCCAGCCCCCAGAGTGATAGGATCCAACCAGCAGCATAGGGGATCAGTGGTGTACAGCTCGATCTGGCATGTCCCTTTACCTTCCCTGCACCCATGCCACTGATCCCCCTCCACAACCAGAGGTAAACTCTTCCTCTCTCTCCCCACTTCCCTCTGTCCCCTTCCTCTAGCAAAGACAGACACTTCTCTTCCTCCTCACCTCCCCTATCAGGCTATGTGTATGGAGGGAGAATGGTAGCCCACAGTGCAACTGAATCACAAGCACCTGGCCCACCACTCTTAAAAGACAGGGCTCCACTATTCTGAAATCAAATCATTGGGATTCAATTACTTAAAATAGTTGCTTTGTTTCTGGGTGGTTGTGGAGATAAAGTTTTCTTACAATGATCTCTCCTAAATAAGAGCAGTGTTTGTGCTATTCCCAGCTCTTCTCAGACAGATAGTTAATATGATGCAGCCAACACACATGGAGCAAAATCTGAGTTTCAAAGTTCAGGAGCATTTTGATTTGAGGTTTTGGCTCAAGCTTGTTTCTAGCTTTCACATCTCTATATTGGATAGCAGGATTACAATCCCAAAATCATAATGCAAAGGAAACTGGGACTCCAACTTAATCCATAAATATTCTTTATATATAAATGTCTGGATTTATTTAAATAAGCAAATGAAATTTGCCAACACTACACATTTGGGAGGTATTTTCAATACAAAGGTAGATGGAAATAGCATAAAAGAGGAACTGGACAACCTTGAGTCCTGGAATCACTGGGATAGAATGACATTTTATACTACTAGAAGGTCATACACTCAATTCAGTGACTAATACCAAGAATTCTTGATATAACCTGTGACTCCTCAGAAATTTCAGAGAAGGAGTCCAAGATGTATTAATCCATCACAGGATGGCTATGAACCACCAGTGTCATGAAGAGGCAAATTCAATCCTAACACACTAAAAGACAATGTTTTGAGAAGGCACAGAAACAAATGCAGTGGCACTCTGTCAGAGGAGTGAGGTTTGGGAACAGCCTTCCAATAAGATGTAGGGCACACAACCCAACTGCTTTTAAGATGAACTTCAAAACTTTATGACTGCATTTATATGACCTACTTGCCTGACACAGCATGGGACCCCATAGCCTTAGAGGTCCCTTGCAGCTCTCTATTGCTAGTTATTAACCCGCACAAGGTTGCCAGAGGTCACTAATGCATGCAAGTCTACTTGTAATACTATACTTTTATGGCCCCCAAATCTGGCAGTGTGAGAAAACTGCAATCAGAAAAACAATATGTAAGCAAACAATTCCTTCTTACTGGTTTTCCAGAGGGCTTTGACAATAATTTCAAAATATTTTTTTAAACTATCTAGAGGAATGGGACAATTTATGGAGACTGGTTTTTAGACTATCTGGGCCTGTTAAAGGTGGTGTAATATCCATTTGATCTCCAAACTATCCTCCAGAAAACTCCCAACTCTTAATATTTCAAGGCTTTTGGAATGCAGTAGCTTTAAACATCGCTGTGGGTTGCAGATGAACTCTGAACTAACAGAGTATGACTCAGTGTACAATAATATAAGAACAAAGACTTCACCCTTTATTTCCTTTGAGATTATCCTCCATTTCCCCTGTTTCTCTTAATGGTAGGAATTTTTAGGGTGAGTTTCTCAGACCGAAATCCACATCAAGACAAGCAAATATAATTCTTAAATCTGACTTTCAGGGTCCCTGAAACAAACTCAGAATGTCTGCATTTAGGCTAGCATTTTCCAAAGAGCGTAAAGGAATGAAGACCCCCAAATTCAACTGATATTCAGTCAGAATTCAGGTCCTGACTTTGACAGGCTCATCACAGGGTATTTGGTAGGAAGGAGGACACCAACACAAGATGCTCCAGGCAGAGGAGGCCCTGTGGAAGAAGACACAAAAGTGGGAGGGCAATATGAAGGTGAAGATTACCTGGGAGACTTCAGATGAGCAGAAAACGAGAGTGGGATTAGAGATAA